ATTTTCAGGCAGGTCGGACGTTGTTTGGCTGAGTTATAAGCCAAACTTCCTGTTGCCAGCAGGTGGCGCTTTGACTGTCTTAATGTTGGTATGTTGATGTCTTCAGAAGAGGATTTTAAGCAATCATGTGAAGTTTCAGGCAGATTAGACATTGTGGGGCTGAGTTGTTAGCAAAACTACCTTCTGCCAGCAGGTGGCGCTATGCCAGACTCAATATTGTTATGTGGATGTGTTCAGGAGAGGACTTTTATCCACTATGTTAAGTTTCACGCTGATCGGACATTGTGTGGTTGAGTTATAAGCCAAAATTCCCTCCGTCACTAGGTGGCGCTATGACTGACTAATATTGGCATGTATATGTGTTCAGGAGAGGACTTTTATCAACCATGTGGAGTTTCAGGCAGATCAGACATTGTGTGGTTGAGTTATAAGGACTTCCTGTTCCATGGCGAAGCGATGAGGTTTGTCATGCCACAACAGACACGCCTTTTTGCGAAAACTCTAGATTTTCACAATATATCATCGCTAGAGCTTTTAGATGACACCACCCAAATTTGGGGCTGATACTATAAAATTTGTGAGAGAAGTTCGTGACAGTGTAAAACATGTAATTTCCTACGGCCAGCAGGTGGCGCTATAACTTTTCCTGGATATCGGCATGTTAAAGTGTTCAGGTCAGGACTCTTATCAAACGTGTGAATTTTGAGGTAGATCGGATAAAGCATGCCTGAGTTATAACGACTTCCTGTTTTGTGGCGAATTGTCAAAGTTTGTGAGGCCGCCACAGACACGCCCATCGACAAAAACTCTTAATCTTTGCAATTTAACATCGCCAAGGCCTTTAGATGACAAAGCCCAATTTCGGTGTCGTTCGGATAAAATCCCTAGGAGGAGTTCGTTAAAATACAACGCCTGGAAATGGCAAAAATGCCACTTATTCGCCTCAGGAAGTTAAAAATAGTCGACTTCCTGTTGGGTTTGAGATATGGCTCCAAGAGACTTTTTCGTATGTTTTGGCGTGTTTGAGGTGTGTGCCAATTTTCGTGCATGTGCGTGATTCGTAGATCAGGGGCTCGTCCGTTTAATTTTTCTAGGTGGCGCTGTCGAGTCATATAGCCACACCCACTTCATTATTGTTATGGGGATGTGTTCAGGAGAGGACCTTTATCAATCATGTGAAGTTTCAGGCAGATCAGACATTGTGTGGTTGAGTTATAAGGTCTTCTTGTTCCATGGCGAAGCGTTGAGGTTTGTCATGCCGCCACGGACACGCCCCTTTGCCAAAACTCTAGATCTTCACAATATATCATCACTTAAGCTTTCAGATAACACAACCCAAATTTGGTGCTGATACGAAAAAATTTGTGGGAGGAGTTTGTTACACTGTAAAACATGTCATTTCCTGTGGCCAGCAGGTGGCGCTATATCTGTATCTAGATATCGGCATGTAAACGTGTTCAGGTCAGGACTCTTATCAAATGTGTGCATTTTGAGGCAGATCGGATAATGCATGCCTGAGTTATACCGACTTCCTGTTTTGTGGCGAATCGTCAAAGTTTGCGAGGCCGCCACGGACACGCCCATCGACGAAAACTCTAAAGCTTCGCAATTTAACATCGCCAAGGCCTTTAGATGACAAAACCCAATTTTGGTGTCGATCGGATAAAATCCCTAGGAGGAGTTCGTTAAAGTACAACGCCTGGAAATTGCAAAAATGCCACTTTTTTGCCGCAGGAAGTTAAAAATATCCGACTTCCTGTTTGGTTTGAGATATGGCTCCAAGAGACTTTTTCGTATGTTTTGGCGTGTTTAAGGTGTGTGCCAATTTTCGTGCATGTGTGTGATTCGTGGATCGGGGGCTCGTCCGTTTAATTTTTCTAGGTGGCGCTGTCGAGTCATTTTGCCACGCCCACTTCCGAGACCCATATCAACCTGCTATTTACACCGGGTTTGGTGTGTGTGCAAATGTTCATGAGTTTTCGGGCATGTTTAGACCCTCAAAATTGCCCCGATAGGGGGCGGAATAATAATAATAATAATAATAATAATAATAAAAAACGGAGCAATTCCAATAGGGCCTACGCACCGTTTCGGTGCTCGGTCCCTAATAATAATAATAATAATAATAATAATAATAAACGGAGCAATTCCAATAGGGCCTACGCACCGTTTCGGTGCTCGGTCCCTAATAAACGGAGCAATTCCAATAGGGCCTACGCACCGTTTCGGTGCTCGGTCCCTAATTATACAATAACTTGCCTAATTACCCTAACCTGCCTAGTTACCCTAATTACCATAGTGAAGCCTTTAAATGTCACTTTAAGCTGTATAGAAGTGTCTTGAAGAATATCTAGTCTAATATTATGTGCTGTCATCATGACAAAGAGAAAATAAATCAGTTATTAGAGATGAGTTATTAACACTATTATGATTAGAAATGTGTTGAAGAAATCTGCTCTGTTAAAGATAAATTGGGGAAAAAATAAACAGGGGGGCGAATAATTCAGGGGGGCTAATAATTCTGACTTCAACTGTATTTAGTTTTTTTTTATCTTGCATTTTATTCATTTTTTATTCTTTTTTCTTTCTATATATACGAAAGATAATCTTTCATGTAGTGTTTATTTCGCTTTTTAAAAACTTTATCTTGCTTTTTTTTTTTTGGTCTTTGCATACATTTGAAACTAATGTTTAATGCATTTTCTTGGTCTCGCATTTTATACAGATTTTTTTCAGCCATTATTTGACATTTTAGCTTTTTGTTAATTTAATTTGTAATTTTAACAGTAACTTTTTTTTCAGGAGAGCAAGAAAAAAGTTTATGTATTTATTTAAAAGCTGATTTTAAGCAGTGACATATCTCTGATCATTTTTTGTACATAAAGATTTTTCAGGAAGCAGCCGTGTATAAAACACAATCTGTGAAGCCTGAAACAGAAAGTACATTTTTTATCGATGATGTCACACCCTCATTTTCTCTCCTGAGGCAATCTAACTTGGCTGTAAGAGTGTGTTTTGTGCTGAAGAGTGTACTGTCTGCTACGTCAAAGTAGAAAAAGGGTTGCACAATGGCACAGTGGGTAAGCACTGTCGCCTTACAGCAAGAAGGTCGCTGGTTGGAGTCCCGGCTGGGTCAGTTGGTGTTTCTGTGTGGAGTTTGCATGTTCTCCCTGTGTTGGCGTGGGTTTCCTCCGGGTGCTTCGGTTTCCCCCACAGTCCAAACACATGCGCTATAGGGGAACTGATGAACTAAACTGGCCATAGTGTCATATCTGCCAACACTCCCGGGAGTCTCCCGTATTTCAGATGCATCTCCCACTTTGTTATTTCTCCCTGAAAACTCCTGAAATTTAACCCCCTTCCCCTGGTCCTCAGGTGTTTGGTATAACCTATAACACCGCCGGTTCGGCGACTATTCCGATGGTAGCCGGTGCCCAGTGCATAGGATAGAACAGGCACACCTCTGCTCTGCCCCCCCCCCTACTTTTTTTGGTTTTTCATGCCTCTGTGAAGTCTCTGATACATCTACCACCCCCCAACCCACTGCACAACCATCTCTAGGGTTTACAGAGAATGATCCGACAAAGAGGAAATATCCAGTGAGCGGCAGTTCTGTGGGCGCAAATGCCTTGTTGATGAGGCCAGAGGTCAGAGGAGAATGGCCAGACTGGTTCCAGCTGATAGAAAGGCAACAGTAACTCAAATAAGCACTCGCTACAACCGAGCTCTGCAGAAGAGCATCTCTGAACACACAACACGTCCAACCTTGAGGCGGATGGGCTACAGCAGCAGAAGAGCACACCGGGTGCCGCTCCTGTCAGCTAAGAACAGGAAACTGAGGCAACAATTCACACAGACTCACCACAACTGGACAATAGAAGATTGGAGAAACGTTGCTGCTCTGATGAGTCTCCATTTCTGCTGACACATTCAGATGGTCGGCTCACAATTTGGCCTCAACAACATGAAAGCATGGATCCATCCTGCCTTGTATCAGCGGTTCAGGCTGGTGGTGGTGGTGTAATGGTGTGGGGGAGGTTTTCTTTGGGTCCATTAGTACCCCTTGAGCATCAACGCCACAGCCTACCTGAGTATTGCTGCTGACCATGTCCATCCCTTTATGAGCACAGTGTCTCCATCTTCTGATGGCTACTTCCAGCAGGATAACGCAGCATGTCATGAAGCTCAATCATCTCAGACTGGTTTCTTGAACATGACGATGAGTTCACTGTACTCAAATGGCCTCCACAGTCACCAGAGCTCAATCCAATAGAGCAGCTTTGGGATGTGGTGGAACGGGAGATTGGCATCATGGATGTGCAGCCGACAAATCTGCAGCAACTGTGTGATGCTATCATGACAATATGGAGCAAAATCTCTGAGGAATATTTCCAGTAGCTTGCTGAATCTCTGACACCAAGGATTAAGGCAGATCTGAAGGCGAAATTGGTCCAACCCGGTACTAGTAAGGTGTACCTAATAAAGTGGCCGCTGAGTGTATAATAACATTCAAAAACTCCCAAATGCACGTTTTAAGAGTGACCATCTATAGTATTGGTAACCTAGCAACCAACAGTAAACAAGACGAACATAATAGAGTCATGTGGGTGTAACATCCTACATCAAAATACAAAACACCTTGAATGTTTTTTTGAATATTCATCAAATCTTTTTAAAAACAATTACATTTTAAAACTCCTAAATGCAAAATAAGTGCATTTGCATCTTGTTAGAAAAGCTGTCCATAGTATTGATAACTTTTTAACACAGAATAAACCAAAAATGACCAAAAATGAATGCATTAGCTTAAGTCAGGGATGTCCAAACTCGGTCCTAGAGGGCTGGTGTCCTGGAGGATTTAGCTCCAACCCTAATCAAACACACCTGAGCAAGCTAATCAAGCTCTTACTAGATGTACTAGAAACTTCTAGGCAGGTGTGTTGGAGCGAGTTTGGACACCCCTGGCCTAGGTGATCTCCAGAAAGCATGTGTTTACTCACCACCATATGAGCAGAGGTGTGTTTAATCAGGCAATCCATAAACAAGCCTTTGGCGCCGCAGAAGATACAATGAAGAACTTCAGGGAACTGCATCTCTTTCTGAGCTTCCTGATTGACCACGCCTTTCACGAACAGCTGAGAGGTGCGAAATATACAAGGGAGTACACAATCAACAGTTCATCTATATAAATAAAACACAGCAACACTAAGGCCCTGTTTACACTAATGCGTCTTAGTTTGAAGACGCATGAGGTTTGCTACGGTTACGCCATCCGTTCACACTAGTTCTCGAGTGCCGAAAACGGAGCGTTCAGGAAACGCTGTAGAGGCCGTTTTCATTCTGAAATGCTGCTGCTCCGTCTTAGTGTGCACTGAAAAAAATATTCAGAGGTGATTACTTGGATTTACTAAAATTTTTTTATTAAGTGGTTTTAAACAATTTATTCGTGTTGAATTTAAACAAACAAATTAAGTTGAACCTTATTAAATTTATTTTTTTTGTTTAAATTCAACACAAATAAATTGTTTGCAACAGTTCTGCATCCAACACTTTTTTCAGTGGGAAAACGCAGACATCTGAACACGGAGGCGGGGCTGCTGAGATTCGCTACCTGATTGGGGCTTTTGTGTCATTGCGTATCCTTCCCTTATTCGTCAAGCCCCTATCACATGACTATAACACATGGCTTTACCGCTACCGGAAGACAGCCGACCAGCCTTCACTGTCACCACAACATGGACAGAAATGGGAGCATTATGTGCACTATTGTCTGTTTTAGGCGCTGTTGTGCAGTTATTCATTTGTTACGTTTAGCAACAACTCGACCTCTTCGTCTGTCCACAAAAACACCTCTCTTGCTTTCTTTGCCATTGTGTTCATTGTTTAACCGGCGTTTGTTGACTAACAATAACCAAACGCCAAGCGAGACACATGCTTCCTGTTTATACTCGAACACGCATGCCCAGAGTGCGCGAATGGTCACGTGTAAGGATGTCACGATCCACCAAATCCTTGATTCGATTACATTTTCGATTCTAAAGTCACGATTCAATTTGATTTTCGATTATGAATAATTAATTAATTAATAACGAATTAATTATTTGTAGTCTACCGTTTAAACTACCTGACCTGCATGGTCTTTGTTTTACCCATAAACAAATCATACAGTAAATGAATAAAGGCAAGATACACACATAATTACCACCTGTCAATCACTTTTTCTGCGGGACTCGTGAATAGGCAGTGATCTGTGTCGTTATAATGGCGTCGGTAAAAAAGACGCACAACCAACAGGAACCAGCCAACAGTGTCTGAGGTGTTCGCTAAAATGACTAAGTACAAGTGAGTGAAAGATTGAAGCAGTCTACTGACCCGCTGACTGCCTTGACCCGCTGTCTCGAGCGCATGACAATGTGTGTGCGTCTCTGTGTGTGCCTGCCTGTGTGTGTGTGGTCACGTGATGTGCGTTTTCAGTGGTAGAGAGGAAGGAGGGCTGCTGAGAAATGCTACACGCCAGTGTGAATGTGGATCGTTGTCGTTCTAAAATGCCATTTAAAAACAAGGACAGTGTAAACACGGCCTGAGTGTGTATTTTTCGCGAGCGTATTTGCAACGGATGCGGGGCGGAGGATTGCGATCCGCCCATCGTCTATCATCCCAACCGTAATACGCACATAGCAAAACTTGCAAACTGTGTTTTTTTTTTTGTCGACAACACGAACGTTGTCAACATAACTAACTGGAAATCCAAAATGCTTCCACACCGGCGACTTCATTGAAAGAGGAGAGGGTTTAAGCTCTGTCGACGGGTCTCCTGCTTCTGCAGTTTAACAAGCACTTCAACAAGCCTGTTTTTTTCCCGCTTGGCAAGCCAAGCTGACGTGACATGGGGGCGTGGCAGCATCGACGATTCTATTTTTAGATTCGATAATCGAAATTGAGCATAAATTTCGATCGATTTCGATTAAAAATCGAAATCGTGACACCCTTATTCACGTGATATAGGTTTTTGGTGGCGTAGTGTGGACGGAAATATGATCAGAAACGCTGGGTGAATCGCTAGTGTGGACGCAGATCGTTTTTGATCGTTTTAAAACTCAAACGCACTAGTGTAAACGGGGTCTAACATGGACAGCGCTGGGCAAAAGCAGTCAAACAGGTGTGGTGAAATTAAAATAAAGTGCCCCGCCCTCTTCTTAATAGATGATGATGGTTGAACTTTCAGTTTCGAGTGAACTGTTGATGTTTCACTTTAAGCATTATGGAGAACACTGTCAAAATGAAGTTAAACAGAAGCTCATCAAAGGTTAACAGCGAGCAAGTGAAAGTGCCTGACCTTTGCTGCAGTGACCTGTGTACGTGCGCCGCGCAGCTGCAGCCAGATCTGTCCACCCTGTGAAGGACTTTCTTCTGCTCCGATGCTCAGCTTCACCCCAAACACTCGCTCCACGGTGGGCTGAAGCGCCCGAATGGCCTCCCGCAACACACCTGCGCAGGTGAACTCATCCTCCACCTGCTCCTGAGGTCCACATTCATCCACTGAGAGAGACATGGTGAGCTCGCTGTAAAACACAAACACCGGTCAGACGCTAAAGTGTTTATTGTCACAAACAGAGCAGTGCTCGACAGAATATGATCATCTTTCATAAAACTACTGAAAGTGAATGTGTGTGGGGTGTGTGTAATGCAGTGTGTATGGTGTGCAGGACAGCAAATCTGACAGTTTTCTCTCTCTTCTGGCTGCCGCTATCAGTCTCACACTATTGTTTAGTGCTGGGTAAAGTGTTAGGGATGGTCAACCATAACTAAAGATGTAATCACAGAAAATAAATAGCACTGTAATTACATGCCATTTTAAATCTAGCATGAGTACAATGTAAAAATAGGTATTTACACAATGAGTACATCGTGACAAGTGATTCATTTCAGTGTAGGTACATACATATTAGTTAAGGCAAGATTTTCTGCACACAGAAGCAACTGTTACAATTGATAAGATTAGTGGCTGTCTTCAGGCAATCATGGGAACAAAGTGTGATAGTTATTATCTCTGATAAAAAAAAACATTTTATATATGCGAGAAAACTGTATTACACTGTTTTACCCTGTATTACACTGTTTTACCCTGTATTACACTGTTTTACCCTGTATTACTCTGTTTTAACCTGTATTACACTGTTGTACACAGTATAACTCTGTTGTACACTGTATTACACTGTTTTACCCTGTATTACACTGTTTTAACCTGTATTACACTGTTTTAACCTGTATTACACTGTTTTACCCTGTATTACACTGTTGTACACAGTATAACTCTGTATTACACAGTATTACACTGTTTTACCCTGTATTACACTGTTTTACCCTGTATTACACTGTTGTACACAGTATAACTCTGTTGTACACTGTATTACACTGTTTTACCCTGTACTACATTGTTGTACACTGAATTATGCTGTTGTACACTGTACTACACTGTTTTACCCTGTATTACACAGTTTTACCCTGTATTACACAGTTTTACCCTGTATTACTCTTTTGTACACTGTATTACTCTGTTGTACACTGTATTACTCTGTTGTACACTGTATTACACTGTTGTACACATTAGTACACAGTTTTACCCTGTATTACACAGTTTTACCCTGTATTACTCTGTTGTACACAGTATTACACTGTTTTACCCTGTATTACACAGTTTTACCCTGTATTACACAGTTTTACCCTGTATTACTCTTTTGTACACTGTATTACTCTGTTGTACACTGTATTACACTGTTGTACACATTAGTACACAGTTTTACCCTGTATTACACAGTTTTACCCTGTATTACTCTGTTGTACACAGTATTACACTGTTTTACCCTGTATTACACAGTTTTACCCTGTATTACACAGTTTTACCCTGTATTACTCTGTTGTACACTGTATTACTCTGTTGTACACTGTATTACTCTGTTGTACACTGTATTACACTGTTGTACACATTAGTACACAGTTTTACCCTGTATTACACTGTTTTACCCTGTATTACACTGTTGTACACAGTATAACTCTGTTGTACACTGTATTACACTGTTTTACCCTGTACTACATTGTTGTACACTGAATTACGCTGTTGTACACTGTACTACACTGTTTTACCCTGTATTACACAGTTTTACCCTGTATTACACAGTTTTACCCTGTATTACTCTTTTGTACACTGTATTACTCTGTTGTACACTGTATTACTCTGTTGTACACTGTATTACACTGTTGTACACATTAGTACACAGTTTTACCCTGTATTACACAGTTTTACCCTGTATTACTCTGTTGTACACAGTATTACACTGTTTTACCCTGTATTACACAGTTTTACCCTGTATTACACAGTTTTACCCTGTATTACTCTGTTGTACACTGTATTACTCTGTTGTACACTGTATTACTCTGTTGTACACTGTATTACTCTGTTGTACACTGTATTACACTGTTGTACACATTAGTACACAGTTTTACCCTGTATTGCACAGTTTTACCCTGTATTACACTGTTTTACCCTGTATTACTCTGTTGTACGCCGTATTACACTGTTGTACACATTATTACACTGTTTTACCCTTGTTGGAAAATAGGAATCTTTTTTATTATTATTTTTGTCTCTTTTTCTTTTAATCAAACAATTATTTGTATTGGTCATGTAAGGGTCATATATTAACTGAACTTCTACTGTTGTGTGTGAGTGCTGTGCATGCTAACTAGCATTTTTGCAGAAGTAGATAGATGCGGGTCCAAAATTAAATTCAGCTCTGCAGAAACTTCCTGTCTGAAGAGAGGTGTTAAAACTGAACACAGAAAGTTGTATGCTTTTGTTGTGCAGAGAATTCGTAGAAAAAGTGGAAGTATGTCTAAGGTGCGGCCAATGGAGGACTGAACAATGACTGACAAATGACGAATTTCATTAAACTCCACCTGTTAATATCAGTTGTGTATGTATGCTGGAGTCAGGAAATGTATGTGAGCTGCGAACCTCTTGAATGTAATTCTTGTTTTGCATTGGGGTAACGTAACCCAGAGCTCTGTCATCAAATTATTCATTTGTATCTAATAAATTGCTAATATTTTTAGCATTGAAGAAACCCTCTCCAGACCTTTTCTTATTGAACACGCATGGAATTGGCTTGATATTCCAACACCCTGTATTACACTATTGCACAATGTAATACACTGTTGTACACTGAATTAGTGTTTTACCCTGTATTACACTGTTGTACACTGTATTACACTGTTTTACCCTGCATTACACTGTTGTACACTGTATTACACTGTTGTACACTGTATTATGCTGTGTTGTACACATTATTACACTGTTGTACACTATTGAACATTGTATTTCACAGTTGTACAGAATTACAATGTTTTACACTGTTTTACCCTGTATTACACTGTTGTACACAGTATTACACTGTTTACCCTGTATTACACGGTATTACAGTGTATTATTCTGTTGTACACTGTATTACACTGTTGTACACATTTTTACACTGTTTTACCCTGTACTACATTATTGCACATTGTAATACACTTTTGTACACTGCATTACACCGTTTTACCCTGCATTACACTGTTGTAGACAGCATTACACTGTTTTACACTGTATTACACTGTTTTACCCTGCATTACACTGTAGTAGACAGCATTACACTGTTTTACACTGTATTACACTGTTTTACCCTGCATTACACTGTTGTACACTGCATTACACTGTTGTACATTGTATTATACTGTGTTGTACACATTATTACACTGTTGTACACTACTGAACATTGTATTTCACTGTTGTACAGTATTACACTGTTTTACCCTGTATTACACTGTTGTATACAGTATTACACTGTTTACCCTGTATTACACTGTTGTACAGTATTACACTTTTTTACCCTGCATTACACTTTTGTAAAGTATTACACTGTTTTACCCTGTATTACACTGTTGTATACAGTATTACACTGTTTTACCCTGCATTACACTGTTGTAAAGTATTACACTGTTTTACCCTGTATTACACTGTTGTATACAGTATTACACTGTTTTACCCTGCATTACACTGTTGTAAAGTATTACACTGTTTTACCCTGTATTACACTGTTGTATACAGTATTACACTGTTTTACCCTGCATTACACTCTTGTAAAGTATTACACTGTTTTACCCTGTATTACACTGTTGTATACAGTATTACACTGTTTTACCCTGCATTACACTGTTGTAAAGTATTACACTGTTTTACCCTGTATTACACTGTTGTATACAGTATTACACTGTTTTACCCTGCATTACACTCTTGTAAAGTATTACACTGTTTTACCCTGTATTACACTGTTGTATACAGTATTACACTGTTTTACCCTGCATTACACTCTTGTAAAGTATTACACTGTTTTACCCTGTATTACACTGTTGTATACAGTATTACACTGTTTACCCTGTATTACACTGTTGTACAGTATTACACTTTTTTACCCTGTATTACGCTGTTGTATACAGTATTACACTGTTTTACTCTGCATTACACTGTTGTAAAGTATTACACTGTTTTACCCTGTATTACACTGTTGTAAAGTATTACACTGTTTTACCCTGTATTACACTGTTGTAAAGTATTACACTGTTTTACCCTGTATTACACTGTTGTAAAGTATTACACTGTTTTACCCTGCATTACACTGTTGTACATTGTATTATACTGTGTTGTACACATTATTACACTGTTGTACACTATTGAACATTGTATTTCACGGTTGTACAGCATTACACTGTTGTACACTGCTTTACCCTGTATTACACTATTGTACACTGTATTACACTGATTTTGTTATGATGCTTTAAACCTGTAGTGTACAGAATCTATATTCATCATAAGTACCCAAATTACACCAAGGATCCAGTTGTTTTAATCGAATGATTAATTTCGAGATTAGAGTAGGCCTCAATCTAAAAGCAGCTGAATCCGTGTTATTTAAATGCTCGAAAACATCTATTTGACTAAAAAGAACCAGATTCTCTAAACCACCTTGGTTATATTTAAATAACACATGAATATGAAGCGAATAGTGTCAGCTAAGTATGAGAAAACATCAGTAAAGCTGTGTTCTTCTTACCATAATCTCCTGAACTTTACTGTTGTTTTGACGAAGCGCTCGCGATCTGCAATATAAACACTCAGTCCGGAGCTAAAGAGAGCACTTCGGCTTCACTTCAGATTCGTCCAGCTCGGCTATACAGCGTTTGTTTGGATATTTTCGTCTCGCAGGAATTCATGAAGACTCGTTTATCCACATTCAGCTCAGCTCATGGTGATTGTTGATAAAATGAAAGTTAAAGGGAAACTTTGAGCCGATCTTTTGCACGTAAAGCACGTAAAGCGCGCGCACGCGGAATCTGTATGAGCTCATTAACGCGTTTTAATAATATCTGCTGACACAAAACACCCGAGGGATGGACTTACACGACGTCGAGACGCTTCAGATCACATAATAGCCGTGAAAATGAAAGAAAAACGCGTGAATTCCATAATGGCGGACTTTATTTTGGCTTCGGTCACATTCAGACGCATCAATGGGAATTTCCACTGACGTAAAAGTCACATCCGTTCATGGAGAGGGCTCTAAAACTCAATTGCTACCCAATAAATACCAAACTAGCTGAATTTATTAACAATATTTCCCCTAAACGCTCATTGTGTACTCAATATGATAAAACACTAAACCATTTATTTAGTGTACTTACTGTAAAGTGTTTTGGGTTGACTTTTCCAGTTTCACTAACAAATGCTTATTTCCAAACTTCTGCATTTCCCCAAATAATGTATTATTTGGTTACTCGCTGAATGTAGATCCTTCTCATTCTAAATTTATTATTAATTTATTGCTTTTTTTGACCAAATTTAACATCCATAAATGTAATTTACAAAGAAACACCCTTACTTGTTTATTTTCAGAAAGGATTTTGATTGATATGTGAACTCTTTAAAAGATCAACAATTACATTGCATGTAAAACACTTTCTCAGTGTAAATCATTTAAACTTGTTTAATTCGCTGGTATTTTATTTATGCAACCCTCTTTGTCTCCTGGTTCATATCTGTGTAATGTTCTTTCTTGCATGATAAAAAAAAGCTTGAAAACTATTTATTAATTACAATTGTCTTTCAGTCAATTTCATCATTAATTACCCTAACCTGCCTAGTTACCCTTAATTACCCTAGCCTTTAAATGTCACTTTAAGCTGTATAGAAGTGTCTTGAAGAACATCTAGACTAATATTATTTACTGTCATCATGAGAAAGAGAAAATAATTCTCACTTCAACTGTATTTTTAAGTTTCAATATAACTGTACCATGTCCAGTCTCATTGGATCTCGTTGCCAAATGCTAAATTAATTTGCTGGAGAAAAAATGTGACTAATTTATAAAGTTATAGTAATATCCATACACTTATCATGATAACAATAATTATAATAATAATGATAATAATAATAATAATTATTAATAATATTATTATTGTTATCATCATTATTATTATAATTATTATTATTATTATTATTGTACAGCAAAAATATCATTACAAGAAAACTGAATTCTTAATTTCGTAAGTGTTAATATCAGACATTTAACATCAAACCAAAACATTTGGGTATGTGTGTTCAATTTGATTGATTCTTTCTTCAACTAACTAAATGTGTATGCAGATTCCATGTCTCCAAAAAAGTTCGAAACAACTTGTTTCACTGGATTAATTAAATAGTTTAGTTTTATGTCACTTCATTCATTCATTTTCTTTTCGGCTTAGTACCTTTATTAATCTGGGGTCGCCACAGGGGAATGAACTGCCAACTTATCCAGCACGTTTTTACGCAGCGGCTGCCCTTCAAGCTGCAACCCATCTCTGGGCAACATCCATACACACTCATTCACACATACACTACAGAAAATTTAGTCACAAAGTTTGTCACTTTTTAAATGTTATTAATGACTATATTGATTTTAACGAAAGTTAATCCGCTGACAATTAAAACAATCTTCAATGTTCTCTCTTGGTTCTCGTATAGCAAAAAGTATCTTAACAAGAAACCTGAACTCTCAGTTGTGTAAGTTTGTAAGTTATCAGATATGTTAGTTTGTATGTCACTTCTTGAACTTTATTGATGATACTTTTTCCATTCAGTTTGCTTAAATAAGGTTTGCATTTAGGCAACAATGCGGTTCTAGATAATTATTTTAAATGTAAAAGTTCTTTGTTACATTTTTGTCCCTTTTCTAGGGGTACGGAGACAAAAGTAACAAAATAAAATTAATTAGGATAAAAATATATATATCAAATTTTAATTGGATCGAATTAATAATAAATTAATATTTAATAATGTGCGTGGAGAATCTCCTTTTTCACTATCCCAGCATACTTTCACTTCAGATATAATAATAACAAAAAAACCCTGAAAAGAGATTTCAAAAGAAAAATATTATCTTTTATTCACTGTTTAACAAAGTTCAATATATTTTTACATTTCCAGACAGGGTAAACAAAAACAATGAGATACTTAAATAAAAATTCTCCTAACCAAAATCATTATGAAAGGGTAAGGCCAAAATAACCAACAAGACAAAAGATTCCCAAATTGACAAAAAGTTCTAGATTTCCTCATATATATATATATATATATATATATAAAGAAAACTCAAAATCAATGACAATGCTCTTACCCCACAACCAATGAGAGAGAGAGAGCGATTAATATAACAAAAGGGGAGAGCAATAAGCTGCCACTCACACCAACAACGTTTTACCTAAAAACATCATAGGATGTAACATCTTATTAAATGAATGTGTAGCGCCCTCACCGCCTGATGAGGGACAATAATGTTAATAAAAACACAGGAAACACGGAGCTGCTACTGCTGCTTCACGTCAGAGTCTGTGTATTGTTTTTTTTTAATTAATGCACTTAAAAGTATACTTTCACATTGTTGAACAACATATGTAAACATCTTCACAGATATATATATATATATATATATACACATATCACAAAATAATCACATACATATTCCCTGCACATGCATTGTTATAAATTACTATAAAGTAATTATATGATTCTTATAAATTCTTATAAATGCGGTAGGCCTTGTGATGAAGTTGCATAGTATAATGTATTAGGTCTTGTGACGTTAACAACTTGTTAGTACTAAAATCTTTGAAAGACAGCTAAATTAGCTTGGTAAAGTTGGTTTTAGGTTTTAAATTCGCGGCCAGGCAGTCATGCACGCAGTGTTAGGGATCATTTGCAAATTACAATACGCCCCTCCCACTGATTAGCATAGGCTTTGCATACAGGTTGAGGTTGAAAATGAAATCGAAAATGAAAATTGAAATGAAAAAGTGTCAGTAAAAGAAAAGCTTACATTTAAATTTTAATTTAAATTGTCACTATTATAGCGTGAATATTAATAACACGCTTTGTAAAAATTGTGTTGCATTTTATTTTTCAGTTTGGCTTTTTATTTTAATATTGACAGTCTTGACGTGGAAATGCAGTGAAAATGCAATGTTAAATCGGCAACTTCATTTTAATTATCAATTTGACAGGGACGACGTGTTGTCAAAGTGAAAATGAAATAATTTAATTTCGTTTTTAACTTTGGCCGATATTTTGCGAACAGTGTTTTAAAATGAAATTGTTAATCTGATTTTCATTTTAATTTCCATTTTTTATTTGATTTATTTAAAATTGGCAGGATTTACCTTCCATATTGTTAGTTGTTATGTTGATATATATAATATACATTCACTTGACCGTTTCTTCAGTTGGCATTTAAATCATCACTGTTGCCGTTGGAATTACAGTGCAGAGCGTATATATATATTCAGTTAATACGAACTCTTATATATATATTAATATACACTATGAGGTTAATTTAATAGATGACACTTGTTGCTTTTATATCTCTAACGTATAGTCAACACATTTTGATAACGATTTCAATATTTCATACCTGATGAGGGACAATAATGTTAATAAAAACACAGGAAACACGGAGCTGCTGCTGCTTCACGTTTGAGCAGCAAGCCCCTCCCCCTCATTAGGTATGAAGTAGAAGTAGCCAATCGGAAAAATGTAAATCATAGCATCACATTACATTAATTTACAATATTTATTTTCTATTTTCTACTTTATAAAACGAAAGTGTACAGACTAGAAAGACAAATTAACTTTGATTTTTAATTTCTAATAATTCGTAACCACTCCATACGCTCTTCAGTGTTTGGACTTTCAGCCGTGAAAATTATACCACACTAAACTGAACTTTAACTCTGAACACTTTGACACAATCTACATTGTTAAAGCGCCTGAGAAATAAACATGATTTACATTGAATATTGTGCTGGATCGCCTTTATTTAATCACCCTAATTAAACAAAGATAAACCAGGGTCCTCCCTTCGATATTTTTCTTAGCTAGCGTTTAGTTAAAGGATCGTCTTCATGATGTATTTGCAAAAATAATAAATCAGATTCATACTTCACACAGGGTCACTTGATGGGTTCTGCTAATGAAGTCAGGGTCCACTCCAGTGAAGAAAACTAATAAAATACACTTTCATTAATAAAATAAATCCAGTGAAAAAGTAGAAACAAAAGACAAATAACAGAAACAAAACCCTACCCTCCGTTGAGGATAAAGGGCAGCCAACCTCAGTATACAGAAGTCAGAAAGTGCAAAGCTGGTCAGTACAGGCTCAGCTTTTATACTCCCAGAATCAGGTCATGCACATAACCTACACCTCATATATCAGTGAGGACTTGACACATGCAGTACAAGTACATCTACACAGAGATGTGTTTTACCTAATACATCGAAGCACTAACTATAAATCACTAAGGACCAACTGTATAGTGTGGTCCGACCGCTCAGTCAGGAATTCCAGTAATTTGCAAAACTTATAGGCCATGTCTTATGTGAACAAATTTATAGCTGTCCCATAGGAACGTCTTAGGACATTAATCAACACACAAACATTTCAATGCACTTAGTTGACAGTTTAAAAGCCATTAATCGACACCCAAGGTATCCTTGTCGGGCTGCACATCTGACCTACATGGCTTGTAGGGTTTCCTTTGCTGCACAAGCAGTGTCTCCGGCCTCTGTAGTGAGCTGCAGCTGTGCGAGGCGGGTACACTCAGAGGATAAGAGGTCAGGAGAAGGTGAGTCCAGAGAAGGGTGGCAGAGAGGAAACATCTCCCTCCCTCTCTGTTCATCAGTCTTCCGCGCCCTCTTCTGGTCACGTCGTGCTTTACGCTTACACTTGACTGATTCAGATACAGTGAAGCTCTGAAGTATTGAAATGTCAGAGTACAGGAGACAGTGGCGGACTGGGACTAAAAATCAGCCCTGGCACTGTAGCCACACCAGCCCACATTACCACACTGACACAGCCCCACCCAAGGACACGCACATTCACTACTTATATTGGTGTACAGATGGTAAAATGATATAAGCAGTACCTTATTTAAGAGATATTTAAACATTTAATGTATGTGACTGGAACAAAAGCAACCCATTTATATA